GATAAACCAAGATCCAAGATCCAAGATTCCCACAAGACTCCTGGCTAAAATCCTGGATAAACCAAGATCCAAGATTCCCACAAGACTCCTGGCTAAAATCTTGGATTGATACAGTGATAAAGGATGTTCCCAAACCCAAGATTTTCCACAAGACTTCTGTGCAAATATTTGATCTTGGTTTTGGGCAGGATGTTCCCAAACCCAAGATTTTCCACAAGACTTCTGTGCAAATCTTGGATCTTGGATCTTGGTAGTGACAAAATTGCACTAAGTACATTTTGATCCTGGAATATTACTGATTGCCAACATTTGTTCCTCATTCAATTCTAATTAACAACTAATTCAACTCTAATTTACTTCTATGAATTTTGGTGCACATACAACTTAACTAAATTCTAAGTCAATTCTTATTCCAATTTAAAATCACTTGTATTTTTATTTAAATTTCTAAGTTGAGTCTAATTGAAGTCTAATTGAACTTTAAACGGATTCTAATTTGAGTATGTAACATAGTTCTACTTTAAGCCTAAGTTGAGCCTAATTAAATTCTAATTTAAGTCATTTAAGTCTATTTAGCTTAACTTCATTGTATAGACAAATTCGAATTCAGTTTTTATTCTAATTTACTCCTTTCTATTTTATTCCAATTATGTTTGGCTATTTTAGATCTAATGGAATTCAATCTTGAATCTAAATTTGAATCTGCAACGTGCTTCTAATTTAAATAGAAAATGATCCTACTTGAACTTTATGTACTTGAACTCAAATTGAGGTTGCAAATTAGATCTAGTTCAATTCTAATTGAACTTAGATTCCAATTTCGTTCTAAGTCAATACCGTTCTACTAACCAAGCTCTAGGTAAAACAACTCTAATTCAATTTTACCTTAGTTCGAAGTCAATTTCAATTTAAGTAATGGATTATTATTCAATGTTTTTCTTTCAACTCTTATTTAATGCCAGTCTACTTGTAATTTAGTTCTATTTCATTCTATTTTGGTTTCAATTGAACTTTGACTCTTCCAATTTACTAGTAGTTAGTTTCTAATCTTAATGCCGTTATACGGTTCAGATTCAATTGTTTTACACATCCAATTTTACACTATTGTCATTGCAAATTAGGTTTGGTTCCTATATGTCAAATTCATCCTATATTGATTCTAGTTCAATGCACATGGACTTCTAATTCAGTTTTGGTGTCATTCTAGAGAGTGGGTGGTGAATTTAATTCATTTAAGAAAGCACATTCTTCTATATTGGAAAAACTTCATAAAATCTCTCATGTTCAAAGTAACACCACTTCTCTAGAAGTAAATGAGAATTTCATTCAAATTAAAACTAAATTGAAAAAGAATACACTATTAGAATTGAATCTGACTTGTATAGCAATGAAGCTAGAGTTAGCTTGAAATCAAATTAAAATTAGGCTTGCATTGAACCCCAAGTAAATTAGAACCTATAGTGATAGACATTTGAATCAAAATATGATTTACAAATAATTGAAATAGACTCAAATGTGAATTTGAATATACAAAGTAGAGTAGAGTTGAATATACAAAATAAATTACTCCGTCCAAGAACTGTTTAGTAAACACATAACCTTATGGATTTGGACATTTTTGTAGTACATAGTTAAATGCACAAATATGCTTACCAACTGTACACCAGCACTCAGAAACATAGGTTTAGGGGGGGGAGTAGCATTTATATATATATACACGCCGAATCCACAAGTTGCCCGGCCGCTTTGCAACAGGCTGTTGGCTCGCGCGCGCGAGAGAGAGAGAAGGAGAGAAAAGAACAACGGGTGAGAGAGAGGAACCTCCGTTTGGCTGGGTCGAATCTGGTTGAACTCAGTTTGTACGGTTGCCCTTCCCTTCCCAGTGGATCACCATGACGCGAATTGGGCAAAGGTTGGAGGCGCATTGCTCTCAGGCTGGGCAGATCGAGCCGTGGCAAAACATGGTCAAAAAATGAGATCTTAGCAACACCATTTCCGCTGTTTCTGGACTTTTTGTTGGAGCCATGATTTGCATTTTCCTTTACAACCACTTTTTTGTTGGCAGGGTTCCCTTTGGTGGCACAGTGCTCTTGCACAGCCTTCACCGGCTGTCATCACGTCCCTAGCAGTAGCCACCAAAGAGCATGTTTCTAAGTTTATCGACTGTTTGAGTCTGGGGCGTTCGTAAGGTCACTTCTCTTTGTATCACAAGCTCTATGTTCTTGAATGCTCAAGCTGTTTAAAAGCCAAGGAGAAGGTCCAATGGTGCAGCAAGGGTTCTGCCATTGTGACTTACAGCTCACCGGAACAAGCTGCGCAAGCCATTAGCTCCTTGAACAAGACTACCATCCAAGGCAACACCAGATTCATCGATCCTTGGCAAGGCCAATTTTTTTCGCTGCAGGAGATTCCTGGCGCTGAAAGCCCACCAGATTATCAAGCTGAAAGCCCAACCCATATGTTCCCTTGATCTCTATTTGCTTCTTGACGTCTCCATTTTCTGTTGATCTTGGCCAGCACTGGCAACTAGGTGCGACTCAGCCTGGTTTGACCACTGTGGCAGTGAAGATTGCTGCCTGTGAGGATGTCATGGTCAAAGAGGATGGCAATGGCTTCTTTGATATGAGAAGGATGAGGGTGCGGCCCTTTGTTGCACTGCAAGACGGTATGTACGACCATCAATGTGTGAGAACGCAACCACTAGTCACTAGAGCATCAATTAGTTAGCTGCTTTGATATGACATTTGCTGGTGCTTAGGGAATGCCCCCACCGATGGTGTCTTGGCAAAAAAGGACTTCAATGCCAACATCAAGCATTTGTGGTTGTTCATCCTGCATTTTTGGCATGTGCTTGTAGATATGAAGTTTAGTTGGCCCTGGCCTGGCCCTGGCTATGCTTACTTCTGAGCTTCCCATTGTGGCATGCATTGGGACACTTTTCCATTCAAATTGCTTTGATTGTTGGTGGGCATGGCGACAATCTTGACGATGATGACGCTGAGCTAAGTACTGGTTCGCCAATCTGGCCCGCTTATGGGGCAAAGGCAAAGGCAAGGGAAAGAGCAGAAGGAGTGAGGATCCTCCAGGCGCAGCCCTTGGTCGGCTGATTCTTCGCATCGCTTTCAAGAGATGTTTTCAGAGGTCATGGGGCCATGAGTGGAGGATTCCAATGAACAGACCCACTCAAACCAGGTTCTAGTCGGATTTCCGTGCTTATCTAGGCGGAAGGAATTGTTATAGTCACTACTAGTCCTCCGCATGATGATCGAGACGGAAGGTACAACAAATGCAGCCACAAAGAGCTGTTATCTATCGCTGTTTCTATTGACTCTATTGACTCTGTCAAATAACTCCGTCGATTTGCAACATCTTCGCCTCTGCTTCTGCAAATCTTCGTGCGGGGCGTGAGGTTCTGGGCGTGTTTTCGTGCGGGGCTTTGACTTCGGCACCACAGATGAACAGCTCATGGGACACATGTCCACTGCAGGACTCGTCGTGCAGGGTTGTCGGAGGGCACATGAGGCCACTGCCGGGTCTCGGTGCTTGTTGACTGTGGGTGAAGTGACTCCTGTTGATTCGGATCAAGGCATGTCAGGGCATGAGATGGCTCGGATGCTCGGTGCAGGAGAATCCGCTTGTTTTGTGCTCGGCCAGGAGAAGTCGCAGACGTGCATTGGGTCACCAGAGGCTCGGCGGTGGTGATCTACAAAGAGGCGGACTCCGCCAAGAAAGCCACCGAAGCACTGCACAAGAGACGCTTGGAAGGGACTCCAGCCATAGGACTGTTCTCGGCCGATGCGAGTCGGTTCCGATGATGCGAAGCTTCGCCCCGTTTTGTGGTGCTTGCTTTGGAAATGTCCTTTTCTCAGCCCAGGTGTGATTGGAGGCAACTCTCGGTACATCGACGTCATCCTGAAGGATAGTGAGTAGTTGAGCAGTACTGAAGTACTGTGGCATACTGTGGCCAAGAGTAAAGACACGAAAGTGTCAAAGGCCAAACAAAAATAATGAACGTCTAATACTGTAGTTCCTTCAAGTACGTTGGTCATGTGGTCCAAAGTCGTTTCAAGGATGTGTGGCTGTCTTAGTCTTAGAGTCTTAGAGTTGAGATTGGCCAGAGACTCTCCTCTTCAGACACAGGTTCATTGGAGATGGCAGAGCCGTGTATATTTTTACAAGGAGACTCACAGAAAAAACGTGACACGGAGCAACCTAAAGATACCTTCACGTATGCCTACCCACATATGTTACTTCCGTTGTCTCGTGTTTTGATTGGAAGTTTGAACCGCACATGAGGCTCCACTACCAAAACTTGGAATATATCTAATCGTTCCCGGCAAATGAGATTTGCCCTTGTCCTATTGTTCATCCAAATAACTTTTGACGCTGCAAAGAAGCCAGCTGATGAGATGTCATGAAAGCATCACCTGCTGGGATCAGATGAATTTCTGGGCTCAGCTGGCTGAGAGCAGTTGCTTATCGTAGCTCGCAAGGATGTAGCTACAAGCGTCAACCAAGGCTAGAAGTAGGAATTGGCAACAGCACAAAAGGGGCCGCAACTCACAAATTGGCCACTGTGTGACCACCATGCAGTGGGAGATGAGGGAGAGAGATTATCAGGGGTCAGTGAATGTGAAACACAAGTTGCAATTGCTGTGAGCTGGTTTACTTGGAGTATGGAGGTTAGCTGTTGCCGCCCTGCTTGCTTCGGGCCTTTGCAATGGTCAGAGGTGAGCCGAGTCAACTTGATCACAACATCAGACAGACAGTTTGGACTCTAGACCATCAAAATTGGAGGAAGGTCAGGAAACAGGAAGATGCAGCAAAACTACCAAGAATTGATGAGAATTGTATGGAAGGCACAGCCCAAGGACCTCAGTTTTGTTGGAGGTCACAGGCTGCCCGTTGTGGCCACATTGATCATCCACCAGCTCCAGGTCGCAGTGCGATGAGCAGCCTCATTTGAATTGGACTGCAGTGCGTGAGGACAGGAGGCTTGATTCGGCTTGATGGCTGGTAGCGCCAGCAGCGGAGTGCTCCAACCCTGGCCTTAGGGAACAATCATTAGACGCAAAGCCCAGCAAAGCAACAGATTCGTGCGTTCTGGAGCACTTTGACAGTCGCTTATGCTGCATGTCTTGAATCTAGCCCTCTTTGCGCCTCACATGGCCCTAAAACTTGCTTATACAATTTCTGGCCAGCAGAGTGTGTGCGTGTATGAACACGTGAACACCAGCATGCCAAGGCCACCGGCTTAGTTAGCTCTCTCGGTGAGATGGGCTGGCCTAGCTGTGTAGGACTTGGTGACCTACAGCACGCTCTCTGAACCTGTCATGCGAAGCCGGCGCTGCTTTGGAGATACTGGAATATGGTCCTATTGCCGCGTGTCCGCACAGATGTCCAGTTTTGGATGTGAGACACCATCATGTGCCGATGCTTGCCGTCCAAATAGTGCTGATATGGCGTGATATGGGACGGGCTTGGGGTAACTTGCTAGACCACACTTTTGAAAGAGGTCAAGGGGCTCATTCTGTGAACCCCACCTGTTTTTGGTCACTGGTGTTTCTTGACAATGGCTCATTTGTAATCCCGTCCCCCTAATAATAAACACGGGGCCCCCCCCCCCCCCCCGTAAGAGGGAAGAATATACCCTATGTGCCGCGCAGTCTGCCTTGAGATAATTTAAGCTAACATAGTTATATATATATATTAATAATTATATACTATATCAAAAATAAAGTATATTTAAAAAATAAATATAAAAGAGTGCGATTTAAATTTTTAAATTTTTCGGAGCCTTGAAAAATTTAAAAAAAATAAAAAATATAAAAGATTGCGATTTAAATTTTTAAAATTTTTTAAATTTTCGGAGGCTCCGAAAAATTTAAAAAATTCAAAAATATAAAAGATTTCGATTTATATTTTTTAAATTTTTTAAA